AAAGAATACCATAATTCAGGTTCAGAGAAAGAGTTGGAAAACATTGAGGAAAATGAGGCTGTTTATGCTAGTGACTCCGGTTCTGATGTAGAAGTAGATTCTTGTGACAGTCTGTCTGGCGAAATCGGTAATAACTTTTATACTGGTAGAAACAAGAAAACCAAATGGAGAAAAACTAGTTACCATTCACAAACTTGCCAAGGCCAGTTCAAAAAATCTTTTAAAAACGAATCCTGATCCGAAAGGGGACTGCAAAAAACGGTCCCACCGAGATTGAGGCTTTTTTGAAATTAATTGATGATAGCATTATAAATGATATCGTGCATTTTATAAATCTGTATATTGAAAAAAAGAGAAAGGGGGTTAATTATAGCAGAGAAAGAGCAGTCAAAGTTATAAGTAAATCTGAAATGATGGCTTTGTTTGGATTATTGTTTCTAATTGGTACTAAAAAAGGAAGTCGGACTAATGTCCAGGAACTGTGGACAAATGACGGAAGGTTTGACATGAGAACAACGTAAAAAATTGGATAAACTGGCGGCAATTAGAGTATTTTTAGACAAGTTTCAAGACAACTGTAAGAAATATTATAATCACAGTAACTATGTAACCATAGATGAAAAACTGGAACCTTTTAGAGGACGATGCAGCTTTATCCAATATATCCCGAATAAACCGGCTAAATACGGTTTAAAAATTTTTGCGCTTTGCGATGTCGAAAATTATTATACCAGTACTTTTGAAGTTTATTGTGGCAAACAGCCTGAGGGGCCCTACTGTAAATCTAACTCTCCATCTGATATAGTAAACAGACTAGTTGCGCATATAAAAGGTACTAATAGAAATCTGACCACCGATAATTGGTACACCAGCTATCCTTTGGCATGTTCACTTTTGAAACAAAAAATTACAACCATGGTACTCTGTGAAAAAATAAATCAGAAATACCTCATGAGTTTTTGCCCCACAAAGATCTTGCAACTGGATCTTCGTGCCATGGTTTTCAAAAAGAGGTGTGTATGGTGTCTTACGTTCCGAAAAAGTCAAAATCTGTAGTATTACTTTCTACTATGCATGATGATGGAAAAATTGACGAAAAAACTGGAAAGCCCGAGATAATTTTTGACTACAATAAGACCAAGGGTGGTGTCGATACGGTCGACCAATTATGTGGGGGATATTCTGTTTCGCGAAACACCAGAAGGTGGCCCTTAGCATTATTTTATGCTCTTTTCAATGTTGCTGGAATAAATGCCCAGATTTTATATAACAGTAACCAAAACAACACAAAGAGGCCAAGAAGAATTTTTCTTAAAAATTTATCATTTCAACTTATGAAATCTCACTTAGAGAAAAGGTCTAAAATGTCATTGTTACCTTCAGATATTCAGTTATTTTTAACGACTTACAAACCTAAAGAAAAGGCACAAAAACATGATGTACCAAGAAAAAAGCGGGGACGTTGCGCCATATGTGGAAGACAGAAATAGTATATTACTTTATGAGGCGAAGAAGCATGACTTTTCTTGACGCGCCCGACATTACGCGCCGAACGAAGTGAGGCGCGTAATAGAGGGCAAGTCAAGAAAAGTCGCTTCTTTGTCGAATAAAGTATACTATTTTTTCTTCAAACGTAGCAATTTTCAACCATAAATAGTAAATTATTACGCTATTTTTACTCGAAATTAACTGTGACAACTATCAAAGTCGTCTGTATGTTAGAAATTAAAATAATTAAGTCGTCGGTGGATTTGCGTCTCCCTGGTTACAGTTGTTTGCAATTATTAAAGACAGCTTATTGTTGTTGCAACCGCAAGCGCAAATTTAGTACCAAAATGGAAAACCTAAACGAAATTGAGCCCGCGGCTAATGATGCAGTAGCACGTTTGGGGCCCTCCAAGTCCGGAATTAAGTATTGGTTAGCGTACAAGCACTTCCAAGAGTGGTGCGATACAAGAGGAGTACGGCAAGTTACCGATGACGTTTTAGTGGCATATTTTAATATAATGGAAAAAGAAAATAAATGGAAATCTTCTACAATGTGGTCACGATACTCTATGATAAAATCCGAGTTAGTTATTAGAAAAAATGTGGATATAAGCAAATTTTTAAAGTTACGCGCCTTTCTGAAAAAAAAAACAACCGAAAGATATACTGCAACGAAGTCTAAAGTTTCACTAAAGACGAGTTTGATAAATTTTTGTTTGAAGCGCCAGATAAGTTGTATTTAGGATTAAAGGTAAAAATAAAAAAAGGCACATTAAATCGGGATCGATATACACACCGCAACAATATTGCACTTTGAATTGTACGCCAAAAAAAGTCGGGCAATCCTTACCAACTGGAAGAGATGACATTTGAAAAGTTTTACGACACTAAATTCTTGCAATAGGAATAGGGTACCAACTTCGATTTAGATGAAGATCTTAACAAAGTCAAATGGCACAATATAGGTAAAATACTTAAAAGTGGAAAAGGAGAATTCAGGAGTGAATGAATCTTTTATAAAACGTCATTTTCAGAAGAAAATTATAAAACTATGTCTGTACGCAATAACCGGACCAAAGATGAATAGACAGTATTCACGGGGCTTACACAAGCCTTCACAAAAAAAATACCACTTCCTCAGACAAAGACAAAAGATTTTGGATATTGTAACAAAATACACTATCCCACAGTTTTATATAGATTCTTGTTATAAAAATGTACTTGATAATAATAGTATGTGATAGCTTTGGTAAGTTTGTACATAATTTAAAAAAATAATGTGCCTTTTACACGAATTTGTACAATTTTAATTATTGTTAATTTATATTTTAATATCCTGTCAGGTGTTTAGTTTAATAATAAAACACGGATATTTTTTTTTTGTAGGAAAGTGATATTCTCCCATTTTTAATAATTATTGATCTCAAAGTTGCCATACCAAATTATGACTATATTATTACAATCAGAAGTTTGCGCAAGAATTTACGATTTATTATTAGACTCACATTGCAATAAAGTTTTATCTTCTATTTACTATTATTTAAACATTTTTTGATAATGTGAGCAAAATGTCTCTTTTTTTTGTTCATTAAAAAAATTCTGATCATTTTTTTGTCATAATACTTATAAAAGATGTTTAATTTTAGTGTTCATGTTGATGTCTCATTATTAAGTTATATTTTATCTCTCATTTAGAATAGTTTTGTTTGAATGAGTGCTTATTTAATTTTTGTTCTAATATAAGTACAACTCAAAATAGTTAAATAAAACTTTTTCAAGTCTAAATGTGGTTTATTTTTTATACAGTCACCACTCTAAAGTGGAACAACTAAAAAATAGCGATTATCGGTAAAAATATTGTTTTTTAGCTGTAGTTTAGATAATGAGGACATTTTACAACCTATTTATTATCTAAATTAAATTTAATGTTATAACTTCCCTAACAAAAAATGCAGTAATACGTTTTTTTCGTATACTGAAAAATGACCTTTTTTGAGTTGTCTCAGTTTAGATCTAGGTGTGCCATATAATAGAACTTATATTTTTAATTTTTTTTTTAATATTCTTTGTAGTTACAAAAATATTGTTTTCTGAAACTCCTGAGAAAAAAGATCTTGTATTCTTACATAGCTTAATAAAATGGAAGTGCTTGACACACTCTCAAACGAATTCCATCCAGAATAAGGTGGCAGGCAAGGATGTATACTGTCTGCACAATTATTTAATATATATGAAGGATGAGAAAGGGGCATCTCAGTAAATGGTCAAAAAATAAACAATCTACGTTTTGCAGACAACACAGCACTTCTTGCAAATAGTCAAGAAGAGTTAATTGATCTCATATGACTGGTTGAAAACGAAATCAAATATTTGGTCTGAATATTAAAGACAAAAATCACGATAATGGATAGACTGCACAACAATCATCCACATATAACCAGCATTGACTGTTTTGATATTGTGAGATCATATTTATATCTAGGATCATTGATCACACAAACAGGGTCACTTCAGATCTAGCAAAAGTCGCCATAGGAAAGATAGCCAAAATATGGAAGGACTTTCAAATTTCATGAACTCTAAACATGAAGTTGAACAACTGCTGATCAACTGCGAAAACATTTACTTCCATAATCGAATACAGGCAAAGATAAATGGAAAACTAACAGTGTATACCAGTACAAAGCGGAGTCAGACAGGGTGACTCATTGAGCCCACTTCTCTTTAATATATCTAGTATGTGAAGGTCATGGCTACAGGATGGGGAGCAAAGAAATCCAAATATTATGTTATGCAGACGACGCCGCATTCATCGCCGAGACAGAAGGTGATCTCCAAAGATTAACACATATCTTCAATACAACAGCTAAGAAATACAATATGATAATATCAGCAGAAAAAAAACCAAATGTATGACAACATCTAAATACCCACTACAGTGTAAAATCGAAATTGATGGGAAAATAATAAAGCAGGAAGTAAACAGCAAGTAAGCAGTCAATAAACATTTTTTAACCTTTAAGTGTGGCTTATTCCCATTTAAATAGTAATTGCTTTAAAATACCACAAGAAAATAGCTTTAGAACAGTATTTTACAGTTTATAACTAGTTGTTCTTGGTGCTCCCAAGTTTTTTAGATATTTTTTCCAAGTGAACTGTAAATAATGTCTTAGTCTAGTAGTATCAAATACAAAGTCTTGCCTTCGATTATGCCAATTCCATACCGCGATATAAGGTGCCAACATATATGAATCTTGATAAGATCGCAGATTTGTGCCATATGATTATTATAATAATTGTTTAGGTCTTTTAGATCTTGACTGGTTAAGAGGCTTATTAAACTGGAGGATTATTCAGAATCAGAATCTAATAAACACCAATTATTTTGTAGATATAAAATGAAACAAAATAATTTCATATTACAGCAGATTACTTTGTGGTATGTGCTATTACACATAATGGTCATTGAATGCACCCTTTTATGGATACAAATATTAAGTTAATTTGCTCACCTTTTTCATTTATTTCTTCATCTTTTGGGGTATCATATATTATATTTGGCTTAAATTCCATGTCTTCAGTATGTAAGATTTGATACTTAAAGTCATTTTCAGTTGACTCAAATTTCAAATCATTATTGCATTGTTCTGTTTGTATTTGGTTTGAATGATACTTGGGTTTTACTTGTTCTTCCTCGGTAGATTGAAAAGCTACATTTTCAGGTTCATTTTTAAATAAATCTGCCATATCTATGTTCTGTTTTACTCATGGATATATTTAATTTGTATTCTATATCAATAATACATTTTCTTGTTTTACTTTCATGTTTCTAACCAAAGTGTTATATTATCCTTGTTGCGTTTATAAGAAAACACACACTCAATTAAACATTGTATTTTAATACAGGCTTTCACACAATTTTTGATAATTTTTAATTATAATTTCAATTTAGATTACAGTTACAAACTGTTTACCGAGTCAGCGCTCAGAGCCATGAGTTTGACTTTGACAATAAGGCCTTGGCCTTGTCACTTGTCATAAAGAAAGCTCTTGAACTGAAGATAACAGAAACAAAATAAACATCATAGATTAGAGGAGATAAACATGAGAACAATTAATAACGGTAAAACCATAACTATACCCGGTTCGCTATTCCCAGTCCGAACTGTCTAGTGATTTTAGTAATTATTTTTTTTCTAAGTTAGTTACTTTTTGACAAACTCGAAGTGGCTGGAAAAATACTATACAACCAAGCATACGTGCTCTTAGTCAATATTAATGTAAACAAAAGTAAATAAAATAGAACTTTGCCGACAATCAATATTTATTTATTTACACCGTATAATGTATTGATAACAAATAATAAAATTATTTATTGTACAAAATAAAAAAGTGGGAATAAATTCTACAAAATTAAGAAGTCAAAGTGAGATTAAATAAGAATAAGACACAGCAAGTTCCTTATGTATTTACAACATTTACATAATTCGATAAATACATTTTAATGAACAACTTACTTCAACAGGGTTTTCATTCGGTAAAAAAAAATGGTAAGCATTTTGAATAAACCTTTGTGCAGTTTTATTACCTTGTAATCTGGGAACAGCATCCTTACTAATCTAAAAATATTAACTTTAAAAAAAACTTTTTAAAAAACATTTTATCATATTTATTAAGAAAAACACATTAGCTGATGGAACAAATGGAAAACTTTGACTATCCATAATAATAAAATTTAAAATATAACTAACTAATTAACTGAATAGAACTAACAAAATAATTAAACAAAGATAATAAAACTATATTAAATTAAATAAACAACGCGAATAATACAAATATTTACTACAATATTTTTAAATGTAACAACTCAAATATTATATTTTAAATATACATGAAAAATTTGATGGGTTTAGTATACACTTCCACTGTTTAGAATAATTCTTCTTTTTTTCAAAGAAAGAAGTCTGCAATAGTAGTATACTTGAGCTATTTATACTGAGAAGTAGGAATTGTTGTGTTGTAGGTTTCCTACAATGAGTCTGTCAAAATATGCCCTAGCTAAGCGAATAGACAACATTAATGGGCATCTCGCAATTGCGGGCACTGTAACCTAACCAAGCATTTATATGACATTTAACGTTCGCTTAAATGGTGTCAGAGTTGCCAAGTCTCCAGTTTTTTCAAACTCTCACATAATATACAAATGTTGATTAAAGTGATATAAAAAATTAATAGTATATATTTTAGTTAAATTAAAGATAATAATCAAATGCATATACAATACAACTGATTAAAATGATATAAAAAATTTATTTAATGTATTTAAATCTTGTAACTTCTCATAATACAAATTATAATTTCGTAAAAGTAACTTATATTTAAACCTTCATATACATTTTACAAAAAAATACGGCAAGTTTTATGCTTATTTAAATTTGTAGCTTCTCATAACACAAATTATTATTTCGTAAAAGTAAATTTATATTTGTAGCATTCATTACATATTTTACTAAAATAAATACGGCAACACTGTGACGCAGTACCTTGAGGAAAATATATTTGGTTTTGGTTAGGTTAGAGTGCCCGCAATTGCGAAATGCCCCTATTAATTATTAATTAATTATATACAAACAAAGAATATACAGATTTTTTCTTAAAATATTTCTCTATTTAATTGTGATGGCATATCCACATGAACTAAAAGATGACTTTTTAAATGTCCAGGATAAGTCAAAGAATGAAGAACTATTAGAGGAATCCCTTTTTCCCATAAAAAATATAAAAATTAAGGCCGAGTTAGATTTGGAGGAGTCTTTCAGCTATTTAAACCAACTAAAAACGTCAAAAAACCCTGAAAATTTTAGTATAGGATTGACAGTAACAGAAACTATTGGTAAAATCAAGTTCCATCCTCATGAAATGCTTCCAAATGGTATCAACTTTGAAATTAAGCAGGAATATGAAGAGTGTGATCCTGATCTGGATAAAATTGCAGCTATTGATCCCATTACCAGTTGTTTGACTGATATTTTCTAGGGAGAATATTTATAAATCTGAGTCTGATACCCCACGAATTTATTCACAAGACATTAAAGTTGAAATCGAACATGAACAGTGTGATTCTTCTGTGAATAAAATGAGACATATTCATCCCAATAACAATTATTCAACCAATTTTTTAACAGAGAATATTGATTTACACAAATCTGGTGCCCTTCGAATTTCTCCACAAGGTATTAAAGTTGAAATTAAACAAGAACATGAACAGTGGGATTCTTCTATGGTTAATATGAAACATATTCATCCCAATAATAGTTATTCAACCTATTGCTTAAGGGAGAGTATTGATAGACCCAAGTCTGATGCTTCACAAGGTATTAAACATGAAATTAAACAAGATAATGCAGAGTGTGACTTTGTTCTGAATACAATTAGCAACACATATACTAGTCACTTAAATACAGAAGTAAAATTGGAAGACTTTGTTGAAGTGGAAAATGATTCCCATTTAAGTAAAATAAAAATCAAACCTGTTAATAGAAAAAACAAATTAAAGGCTTTTTATTTCACCAAAAAATGTAAGTACATTCAACCTGTGTGGTAGTTACAGCAGCTGTTTTACTTTTCTTTATTGTGTATAAATCCTTATGTTTCCTTTACAAATTTTTTTCACTACTTGGATTGGGATCCTTATCACTCCCATTGATCAATTTTGTTTTAGACGATTTGACCTTTCTAGATCCCAAGATATTTGGATTGTTATATAACTGAGGAATACAGTTCAATTTAAATTGGAAATACCCTTAAGAATCAAAGTTTTTAACTGATTTCAATCAGTCTTTTAAATGTCTTTTATTAAAATATGTACTTTGGGGAACAACAACTATTCCTACTGCTTTGTCTTCTATAATTTTCTGAACTACCCTTAATACCAAGGAAAAGTAATACCGTAATGTAATTAGGCAAGGCATTTAGACATTGAAATAAGCATGTTGCAATTTCTAAGCTACCTCTTGCTCCATTTATTTCATTCCAAGCAAACAGTATGCATTATTCGGTGGAGCACCTTCATAAATTGTCAGATTATAACCACTGCTTGGTATTTGCAGTACGATTTGGAGATCAAATGTCACTGAAATGAAATGAGACATATCCGTTGCTCTTTGTTTGTCAATCTGTTTTGCAGTATTTGCAGCAATTTCACGCTGTTTATGTTCATGGTATTTTGGTTCAAGTTTAGCTTTTTCTTCACTACATGCAGCTTGATATTGCATACAAAGGGAACACTGATCCTTGTGTGGTTTAAAGAATGAATAATTGTAATTGTTGCCAAATATTCTTTTGTAGGTAGTCATACTTTTAAGTGAGTAACCATTTTGTTGACACATTTCTTTGTATAGCGAGTACATTTTAGCTATGGAGAGTGTCTCATCCAAATATTTTCTCTGAGACTCTTTTCTAAAGTAATGTGAGTCAGTTAACGGGACACTCTCAATATGATTTATGATGATTTCTTTATCATCTTCTGAAATTTTATTGGCTGGGATATGTCTGCCTCGTTTGTCACCTCCAGTATACAATCCTGATGTAGCATTTCGGTTTTCAAATGCTTTATTTAGTGGTCTGTTGCTTATTGATAGGGTTTTAAAAAAAAGTTTGGCACATTCAAATTGGTGTTCCGTTTTTACAAAAATAAAATTGTTTTGAATAAGTGCGTGATTTTGCATTGCTTTTTCGATGCCGGTGTCTTTGCGGAATGTTAACTTGAACATTTTGAAGAATAAAATCCTTTTTTCGAGAGTATTCTTCTAGTTGCCAATAGTTAGAAAATATTTCAGTTCTATCTGTTTCACTAAATAATTGAGAACATGTAAATTTACAGCGGTCGCAGTTAACAATCTGAGGATATTTGGCTGGTTGCCTTCCTTTTTTAGTAGTATAGGGTTGGCCCAGATTTCTGCATTTTTTTGCGCTGTTTCGTTTCCATTGTGATTCTTCTGCCTTCTGCCAACGGCTTTTTTCTTACAGTTATCTTCCTTGAAATTTAATTCACATGCACCTTCATCGTATTTCTTAGAGAAACTGAAATCGGAATCGTCATTGTTGGGATTGTACTCTTTATCTTGGTCGTCACTAGTTTTAAATAGTTCTAGATCACTTTCTTCAGTGGTCTCGTCGTCATAAATAACTGTTGTTGCAGAATTCGTTCTTACCTGATCTGCCAAAGTCTCATTTTCTGGAAATTTTTCATAACTTGTATATGGAGTATCTAACTTCTCGAAGTCAACATGAGCCTGTCCTATATTCTAAAAGCGAAATCAATAATTAAACTAAAACAATGACATAAAGTAAGAAGTGCTTAACTTTACCTTTACCAATTCGCATGAAACATTCCAGGGCCCATTATTAGTACTATTGCTAATATTATTATTTTTCGGCACTACTGACTGAACTATAACTTTTGGTTTCTTATTCAAATCTCTGGCAAGTTCGATCAGGCGCTTACCTCTGCCGTCCTGCATTACCTCTGCCGTCCTGATTTGTTTTTAATGGCTATTTATATTAAAGAATATTATATTATTCCACTATTATAACTTAATCAAGTAACACAACGTAATATGCAACGAAATCAAAATGTAACCTCGAACAGGTGATCTGTGCTGTCAAACCAATACATCATTAAGTCCAATTGGCGCCACTAATAATATGTATTATTGCCAATTTCAACAAAGTTACCAAGTCCATTTAGTGATTATTGCCTGGTAGAGCAAAGTGTTGTTTGTGACTTACAGACTTATGCACTCATATGCAACCAGTTATACATCACGCACGGACTTCATGCTTTTGCCAGATAACAGAAGCTGCTTTTTAAAAGTCGTTGGTGTCTTTATCTAAGAATTGTATAAAATGGACTTAATGACTTTTGCCAGAACGTCGACGATATCTACTATTTTTTTAAATGAGTCTTTTGACAAACTCCACTACGTCTCTTTGTGAACCTGACGAGACACTTTATCGGCCTCTCTGTTATCTTTAGAATTTATATAATTCTAAAGATAGCAAATAAATAATTCTTTCTTTGTTCACACCACATCCAGATCTGCCTTGTGATACAATTAAATTTTTCGAACCGGACACTGCCCATTCTATTGATACAAGAAATTGCTATAGTATTATCTATGCGACACAAGATGTTACAATCTGATAGTTCTGATACAAAACTTTGTATGCCAAAAAGTAATGCGAGAAGCTCTGAATAATTTATGTGGTGTTCCTTTCATTTTCAGATCAAAAACCATATGTATGGTTTCCCCTGCAGTATAACCTGTCTTAGATGCATCCGTAATCTTCTTCCTTCTAGTATATAGGCTTTAAAGCCTGTTTCTTCTTTAATATTAGCCTTCTAAATTGTCGCACCATCTTTTTCTTGGTCTGCCAATACTTCTTCGTCAATTTGGTGACTTATCTCGTGCTATTTGTAATATTCTATCCTCTGCCATTCTACTGATGTGTTCGTTCCACTCCTGTTTTCGTTTTGTCACCCATCCATTTATGTCTTCTATATTGCATGCTCTTCTTATGTCTTCGCTTCTCTCCCTATCTAACAGACTTCTCCCTGATATTCGTCGGAATATTTTCATCTCTGTTGTTTCTAGCAGTCGTCTCGTTTTAGATGTGTCAGTCTTGTCTCCGCTGTGTATGTTAATATAGGTCTAATTGCTGCTTTATAGATTCTTGTTTTTCGGTCTTGTCTTAGGTGTTTGTTCTTCCAGATTGTGCCATTAAGAGAACCCGCCGCTTTACTTGCTTTTAAGCTTTGTTGTAGTACTTCTTCTTCAACATCTCCGTAACTAGTTATATCTATTCCCAGATATCTAAATCTTACTTCCTGCTTTATATTTTCCCATCAATTTCGATTTTACACTGTAGTGGGTATTTAGATGTTGTCATACATTTGGTTTTCTCTGCTGATATTATCATATTGTATTTCTTAACTGTTGTATTGAAGATATGTATTAATATTTGGGGCTCGTCTTCTGTCTCGGAGATTAATGCGTCGTCGTTTGCATAACATAATATTGATTAGTGATTGTTAGTTGTTAGTTAGTTAGTTAGTGATTGAATAGTTGAATAGTTATTAATTGCATTTGGAATTTTATTAAGAAACCAATTCAAATCAACTAATAATGGTTCTGTTACTTTCATATTTTTGTTGTAATTTTTAACTGATTGCTTCAATACTAAATATTTATGACGTTCAAATAATTTTGTGTGTAAAAAACCAAATTTTATAGCCGGGCAAGCAGAAACACGAGTTCTAAAAAATTTTGCAAATTTTACACTCCGGTAGTTGCAAAAAATATTGAAGCATTTTAGAATCTTCGATTTTTTGCTGTTAGGTAATGTTACTGTCAATTTATTGGAGTCAAAAGTAAACCCTAAAACATGTGTTAGCATATCTACAGTTAATTTTACATCCAAATATACTGTTAAGAGCGTAGGCGCAAAATTTCAGGCCAATGCTTTTTAAATGCATTCATTTTTTTCGAATCCTGAGAAAACTAATAAATATTTTTGAAAAATTTAAACGCAGAATGAAAGAATACATTTATTACCGAGGGCCGAAAGTCCCTGAAAACTTCTATAATGTTTATTTTAATAAGTTACATGGGTGAAAAAAAAGAGAAAATTTAGTGTTATTCTTAATTTCAAATATCTCATTAAAAAAAAATTTTTGTTTATTCTAAGGGACTAATGTGTGAACAATCGCACAAAAACGAAGACTGAATATTGATGCCCCCCAGACCCTCGAGATTATGTGAAGAGGCCAAAGTGTTTATGCTTTGAAGTTGTGAATAATTAGCCAGAGGCGGAGGTACTACAGTTTATTTATTTATGAGATGAGGCCTAATATAATTCATCATCATCATGGCTTATTCACTCCTGGCGGAGTGTTTGCCGCCCTTTTGGGCTCTCTGATTCATTTATTGCGGAGAATCAGTCCGCTGTTGTTTTTTTTATTATTATAGCAGCGTGTGTGACTTGGCCCTGTCTACAATTTTCCTCCATTCTTTCCGATCCTTACAGCGCTCCTTCCAATTGTATATTCTCAGCTTCTTTATGTCTCCTAAGACTTGATCTCTCCATCTTGTTTTGGGTCTCCCCTTTGGTCTCTTTGTTGTTGGTCTCCATCCAGTTATTCGCTTTAGCGTAGAGTCTGGGTTAGCTCTTTCTGTGTGCCCCAGCCACCTGAGCCTTTGCGTCTTAACGAACTTGATTATGTCTTCACCCTCGATCACTTCTTTAATTTCTTCATTGGTTAATCTTCTAAATTCGCCTACACTTATCCTCACCGGCCCCATTATTCGTCGAATTATCTTTCTCTCTAAGATTTCTAACCTCATTTCATCTTTTTGTGTTAGGCACATCGTCTCTGCACCATAGGTGATCACTGGCCTGATTGCAGTCTTGTAAATTTTTAATTTGGTTTTCTTACTAATGTGTTTTTCTTTCAAGAATTTTTGGTAGTTCCAGTAGGTTTTATTACCCAGTAGGATGCGTTCATTTATTTCATCTGTTCTATCATTTCTGTCATTTACCATCACTCCCAGGTATTTGAAACGGTGTACTCTTTCAAATGTATATGCACCAAGCTTAATTTCTTTCTCTATATTCGTATTCTCTCTTGAACACTTGAGGTATTTTCGTTTTGCTTTGGTTTATTACTAGCCCTCTCTTCTTTGCTTCTTTATCTAGTATTAATATTATGTTCTGCATGGTTTTTAAATCTCTAGTAACCAGTGCAATATCGTCTGCATACGCAATCAGTTGGGCTGAAGATTCGATAATCGTTCCCATAATTTTGGCTGATCTTACTGCGCCCTCTATGGCAATGTTAAATAATGTTGTTGACAGGGAGTCTCCCTGTCTAACACCTACCTCCATTTGTACTTCATCTGACGGGCCTTCCTTTGTTAAGATTCGTGCCTTGGATTCCTTCATCGTCATTTTCGTGAGACTTATTAATTTTTCTTGGATGCCTAATTGATTCATATCCTTAATTAGCTCCTCCCTTATTACACTGTCAAAAGCTTGCTTGTAGTCAATAAACAGTATATGTAGATCTATTCCGTGCTCGTAACTTTTTTCGACTATTTGCGTTACAATGTGTATTGCATCTATTGTTGACTTACCTTCTCTGAATCCATGTTGGTTATTCACCTATTTTTGTTCTAGTTTCTTTTTCTATTCTTTGTCTGATCAAATTAGTTAATATTTTGTACATTGTATTTAATAACGTGATTCCCCTGTAGTTAGTGCATTTCGTCTTGTCGCCTTTTTTAGGGATTGGTGTTATCAGACCACAATTCCAGTCGTTCGGCATGCTTTCTTCTTCCCATATTCGTTTTATTAGGTTGTGGATTCTGTGGGCTAGTTCCTCTCCCCCATTCTTAAAGAACTCATTTATAATATCGTCTGGTCCTGCTGCTTTCCTTGTCTTTAATCTGTTTATAGTCGCCAATATTTCGCTGTATGAGGGAGGCTCTGATTGTTCTCCATTCCTATTTTCTGTTTTTTTCTTCATTTTCTGCGTTTTCAGCATCATCTTTTTTTTTAAACAGTTCTCTATAGTGTGTTTCCCATTCTATTTTTCCAATATTTGCTCGTATCTCTTTTTTTCTCTGTGATTTTATGTATTTGTATAGTCTTGCATTGTCATTACTATTGGCTTCGAGTTCCTGCAGTAATTCTTCGATCCATTTCTTCTTTTTTCTTTTGCAGCATTTGTCTGACTCTTTCTTCTTCTCTTTATAGTGTAGGAGATCTTCTTGTTTCCCTGTGGTCACCCACCTGTGTCTTGCTTTGTCCTTGTCTTTACTAGCTTGCTCGCATTCTTCATCGTACCAATCCTTTCTTTTATTGTTTTCCATTAGTCCTATCGTCTCCTCTGCTGTTGTTAAGATACTATCTTTTATGTCTTCCCATGTTTTATCTATGCTCGATGGTTTTAGGACTAGTAGTTTTTCTTCCAATTTAGTGCAGAATTTTCTGTTTGCATTATCTGTATTTAGTTTCGACCGATTCCACCTCTTTCTTTTCTTTCTGTCGTTTTTATCTTTAAGTATCTTCAATTTCATGTCGCCTATCACCAAAATGTGATCCGAATCAGCATTGGCTCCCCTGTAAGACCTTACATTCTGAAAAATTGTTCTCCATTTTTTTGAGATTAGGATGTGGTCTATTTGGTTTCCATCTGTTGTTCCAGGTATTAGCCACGTTACTTTGTGCTCTTTTTTGTGCTTGAATTGAGTGCTAATAATAAAAGTATTGGTTGCTGCTGCTAGATTACATATTCTCCTGCCATTGTTATTCGTATTTTGATGGATTGTTTCTTTTCCTGCGATTTCTCTGTTCGTGTCTTCTTTCCCTATCTTTGCGTTGAAGTCTCCTAATAGGATTAGTATGTCGTTCTTTGGTATTTCTTCGTACAATTCTTCAAGTTTATCATAGAATTCATTCTTTTCTTCTTCAGGAGCATTCTCAGTAGGGGCATATATGTTAACAAATGTTAAATTTGCTTGTTTATTTTTCATTCTAATATATGATATTCTTCCATCAACCGCTTTAAAGTTAATAATCTTGTCTCTTACGCTGTTACTAACTAGAAAGGCAGTTCCATTGCGCCCCTGTTTGCTTTCTCCTGCGTAGTACATTGTGTAATTTCTTCTAGCAATCATCCCTTCTCCTGTCCACCTTATTTCTTGTAGCGCTAGTATTCCCATCTTGTATTTTATCATTTCTTTTGCCAACTCTTCCATTTTGCCTGGTCTTAGAAGTGTTTTGATATTCCACGTTCCTATTCTTATTTTTCTATTTTTGTTTCTTGCTTTATTTTGTTTTGTTTTGTTTTTGCGTCTTTTCTTACAAAACAGTTTCATGTCCGTATTCATTGCCAACTCCGTTATACTGTCGCTGTCTTTTGTTATATTTTTTGTTAGTTTTTTGAAGCCATTTTCATCAATTTTCCTCTTGGATCTATATTATCAGATATGGGAGATCTGTCGTTTTTTGTCCTAGCGTTACCCTTCTTCTCTTCAGGTTTTCCAGTAATTTACATCTATGCCTTCTAGTTGCTCCAGTGAGAACGGTTCACCATTTATCCATAATTTGTTGTATTTTAATGCGGCTGTGTGTCCTTCCTGGCGTTCATTTTTCATGTACTGGAGAAGATGCTTCCTTTCTTGTAGTATTTTCTTCGGGAAGTCCTCATTGATATATATTTTAGTTCCTCTTAGGTTTTTAGCAGCCTTCAGAATTTCCATTCTCGTAGCTTCTTTTTTCATTTCTACTATGATGGGTCTGGGTACATTTTGGGGATCACCTTGTCTGCCTATTCTTCTCATCTCTACCAGTTCTTCATCTAGGTTTATTTGTACGCCGATTTTTTTCGTTATCCCCTTTATCTTATTTCTCATCTCTTGTTCGCTTTCTGTTATAATAATTACAAATCCCAAATATAATTACAAATCCCTAATATAATATAATTACAAATCCCAAATATTCCTTAAATAAAGGAAATTTGTGGTAAATCTAACAGTAGTTGTATGACTACTGATCAATTGTAGGAATTTTATGTCAGACATAAGATTTGATGTTTTGAAATTACTATTTTACTACTTTACAGCAACTTTAGGCAACAAATTAATAGGTTATCATATTCTACCTGGAAATTTAAATGGTGATATGTATCTTGCTTTTTTAAACAATTCCTTATTCGATATATTAGAAGATTTAACGCTAAACGAGCGAAGATCTTTATTTTTTATGCACGATGGAGCTCCACCACAATTTGATAGAAGGTGCCGTAATTGGTTGAGTAATCATTTTCCGAATTGATGGATTGGTAGAGGTGCAGAAGCTCCGATTCATTGGCTTCCTCGGTCATGCGATTTTAACCCTTTGGACTACGCAGTTTTGTCGTATATTAAGGAAAAAATCTATGCTAAAGAGGTAAATTCACGCCAAGAATTGGAAGAAAGAATTCAACGTCAATTTAATGACATAGCTGATCCCCTACCGTTTATAAAATTAATGGAATCTTTAGAAAAAAGAATAGACTTGTGTATTCGCGAAAACGGAGGGCATTTTAAACACTTACTGTAATTGAATAGTATTTTATGTTCTTAGTCATTAATTTAATTTTCTTTTTGTGACTTTTGTTTAATTACTAACTATTTTATACCAGCATCAATTATTACTTCATAATTTTCAAATCAAAATATTCCAAAAATGGTACACAGTATCGAGTTTTACCAAGATACCTTTTTCGTGTAAAATTGAATGATGTTTAAGTCTACTTGAAATTTTCATTAATAATTATACTCTTAAAAAAGTTATATTGACTAATACTTAGTACGATCCGTATAACTAGCGCCCCTTATGAGAATCAGATATAAAAACAAATTCATGGGATGTACAGCTTCCAAAACATATTCGTATAAAATTTCATTACAATGTTGCCAGTAGTTTCGGCAAAATTGTAAAAAATGCGTAAATTTTTTTTCTTCAACGCCCTGTATCTTGAAAACGGATGGCGTTAAAAATTTTTTTACTAAGCAAACCCCAATTATTATACTTATTTATCTTTACCTTTTATTTCAGGGTTTTCTTCTGTCAATTTAAGGAAGAATAGACATAAGATTCATAGTTGTCCTTTTTGTGGTAAAATCTGCATAAAGCCGTTAATTCTTATGTACCATTATAAAATATATCATTGTACAAAAAAAGCGAAAACAAATAAACAAACTGAAATCAAATCATCTTCAATATTAAATGGTTTATTAAAAAAAGAAAAGGATCAAACGTTAATAACTAAAGGATCATCATATGAAGGAGGTTACACTTTGGATGAAACTAAAATTTCATATATTGGTACAATACATAAAAAGTTTGTAGACGAAAATCAATTAGAACCCAATTTCGGCTGGCAAAAATTATACGAATGCAGTAAGTGTCACAAAAATTTTAAAAGGTGCAGTGATTTAACAAGACATTTGTTTAGTCATGTTAGAGAAAGTCCATATACATGTGAAGTCTGCTTTGCACAGTTTTCTACAAATTGTTGTTACCTTATACATAGGCGTGTACACACTGGACAGAAACTGTATAAATGTCATATTTGCTTAAGAAAATTCGCCCGAATTCATAATTTAATACGCCATCAAGTAGTGCATTCTGATGAGAGACCATTTGAATGTGAACTTTGTGGAAAAAGGTTTAAAAAAGAGGATCATATCGAACTACATCACAGCATTGTCCACTTTGGTATTAGACCTTATAAATGTGACTCGTGTTCTATGACATTTGGTCGATCCACCGATTTAAGCAGACATCAACGGGTGCACACTGGAGAAAAGAAATATAAATGTAAGATTTGCTTAAAACAGTTTGCACATCGTCATGCTCTGAAGACTCATATGCTCATTCACACAGGACACAAGCCTTTCAAATGTGAGATTTGTTCAAAAGCTTTTGGCACCAAAAGGCATTGCGAGCAACATATGCATGTCCACACTAAAGACAAACATTTTGAATGCGGTATCTGTCACAAGAAATTTACATTTTATAGTAGTTTATGGGCACATACGCTTGTCCATTCAGGAGAAAAGCGTTTTAAATGTAGTCTCTGTTCGAAAGATTTTGCCACTTCAAGCAATTATAAACAGCATTTGTTGACACATTCTGATCAGAAACCTTTCCAATGTGAAATTTGCTCCAAAAGGTTCAGAGTAAAAGCTGGTGTGAATAGACATATACTAACTCATACTAGAGTTAAATCATTCGAGTGTGAGGTCTGTTTTAAGCGCTTCTCTGCTAGTTCAACACTCAGAACACACATGCTTCTGCACGAAGACAAAGACCGTTTTAAATGTGAAGTGTGTCAAAGAAGAATGTCATCAGAAAAGAGTTTAAAAGGTCATATGCGACAGCATACTGGAGAAAAACCTTATGAATGTGACATTTGTTTAAGAACTTTTACTGACTCAGGCAACATGAAAAAACACAGGAAAAAACATACAGGGAATACATTAAAAAAGGCTGGTACTGTTTCGTCCATCCAAAAATAAGTAACCGCGATATTTAGGTCCCTTAATTATACAGGGTGATTGATTAGTGTGATAAAGCTCAGTAGATCCGCTATAATAATAGATAACGTATGGTGCTAAAGTTTTGGGAAAAATTTCACCTGGTCTGATTGAGAAGTAAAATGTATTTAACAAAGAAGGCCATGGAATTGAAATGTCATCAATTATTGACATTTAATAAACAAACCAGAATATTTTGGTTTGTGCTCTGCAAAATGTCTTATAAAATTGATATTCGTCGAAGTGTTTATAATATGGTTGGGCGAATGTCAAAACGAGATATTGTTAATATTTTATCGAGATCAAAACATAAGCAAATCGACAATTTATCGCACAATCATAGAATGTGAAGATTGGATACCATGTGTTAACTTGCGTAAAAGTGGCCGACCGCGGATTTTGAACCATATAAGAGGGGCAAGACTGATTGAAGCAGCTAAGAACAAAATTGGGGTCTCACAGCGAAAACTGGCCAGAAGATTTCATGTTGGAAAGACTACAGTATACAGGACCCTATCGAGTAACAATATTATCTACCGGAAAAGAAGGAAAGCTCCAAAATACACAGAGGATCAATTAGAGAGAATTCCGAGATGTTGCCGCGCGTTAAGGCGAGTGCATTTCGTCAACAAGTTGATCGTGATGGACGATGAAAAATATTTTACTTTGTCCAACTCTGAGATAAAGGGTAACGATTGGTTTTACACGAACGATTACGAAAACGTACCTGATGAAATAAAATTCAAAAGTAAGAAAAAATTTGAGGACAAAATTTTGGTATGGTGTGTAATTTCTGAGGCTGGCTTTATCTCACAGCCCTACATTGGTGTTGTTTGAGGCGAAGCCTTAAACGCAAATATTTATATTCAAAGATGACTCTCTAAATTGCTTCAGTTTGTGAACACACATCATGCAAATGATCAAATAGTCTTTTGGCCAGATCTTGCTTCATGTCATTACGCGAGGATCACAAGGGACTGGTACTAAACTAACAACATTACCTTTGTACCGAAAGCAGACAATCTCCCCAACCTACCTCAGGCTCGTCCAATTGAAGAGTTCTGGGCAATATTAAGTCGGAAAGTCTATAATAACGGATGGGAAGCACAAAATCAGGAACAGTTAAGACGCCGCATATATACAAAAATTAGAGAAATTGACGCCAAGGTCGTCTAAAGGATGATGCAACGTGTCAGGGGAATTATTTGGCAAATCGAAAATAATGGTCCATTGTCTGTCATTTGAATTTTGATTTATAATAAGGATAGTTAAGTTAAATAATTTAATTCACATTACAATACAAAGGTTCACATTACAATACAGAGTGTTCGATAACGGCAGACCAAGCTTATTTTTTTTAATAGAACACTCTGTATTTTATTTTATATTTAAAATCTTCACTTTCCCATCACAATAATATAAAATTTTGTTATGTTACACAGGGTATCTACAAAGTTATAACCAATTTTATACGAAAATCATAACAAATTCAACTTCCTTTATGATTAAAAAGTACAAGAACAATGATCTATTGTTGCCATACTATATTAGAATAGTGCCAAAATGAACTCAGTATAAAAAAGCTGTGCATACATTACTGTTACAGATTGAACCATACAAGATAATGGACTTTATGAATTCAAATATGTAACAGGATTTTTGTAATTTTGTTTTGGTGTGTATTTCGCTTTGCGTATATGTGTATGTATTTTTGTATATATTACGTATGTACAATTTTCGAAATAAAGATTACTATTACTACATATTTTTATTGATTGTCAAACTTTTCAAAAATAATTGATATTCCTAATTTTCTTTAACCTTTCTATACTTTGTCGTCTCAACGGGTTATAGATCTCTAACATCGTCTACTCCGTTTTACGCCCTGGACTAGGGTATTCGTGTGTATGTGTACGATATACCCTAGGCACTTATCCAATTCAGAGCTGGACGTTGGTAGAATCGGACTACGTCTTGAAAAAGACAAGTCAAAATTCTTACATGAGAAATAAAATACTATGTTTTCTTATGTGCACTAGCACCGAAGAATGAAATAAAACGCAGATCTGAAGAACACAAAGACAAGCCTCAGAGTCTTAGGTTGGAAAGTTGAGGCAGAGCCCCGCTGATCGGCTCCCTAGAGTTTAGGGCTCTAGGAGAGACCGAGGTAAAAATGTGAACTGCCTTTTGGCTTAGAATTCAACTAATATTTATACATAATATTTTACAAGATTCCAAGCCAAACGACCAATGGAAAAATAGGAAAAGGTAAGGAAGGCGGGGCGATGCGCGTCAAAAATGCTCATTGGTCAGTTCTGGCCGACACCTTCATCGGACGGACTAACGCAGACCTGAACCCTCGGGAATGAGTGAAGGTGGTTTAGTCGCTCTATCCATAGCTGTATGGAGTTTCTCGTCTAAGACACATTCTGAAAAATATTATATACTACTGTTAATAATTGTCGGAAATTTTAAATTTCGCATTTCCGGATATGTCCGCCATCAGAGGCCACTTTTTTGGTCTCCTTTTCATAAGGATTAGATTCCCTCTTTTGTCTTTTTGCTCGATGGGCATGGCGGACAATTTTCACGATAGAAAAGAAGTGAAGATAGCGTCAAATTAGCTCTCACAACGAAACACAAACCATACATACTCGAGAGTATGTATGGTTTGTGCAACGAAATATTGCGTTAGCAGTGTTCTTATATTTTATACCTTATATAAAATATAAGTGTTCATTTTTATTATATTATTTAATAGATTCTGCAATTTTATACCTTATATAAAATATTAATGAAGTAATATTTGTTTCGTTTCATATTAGTTGCAATTAAATATTAGAACATTTTTTTGGTAATTGCCCTCTTGATAGGATAGTAGCGGATATATTTGGCAATATAGAGTCAGAACCCTCAAAGCAGTTGCCAGATATCAACAGATGCCTTTTCAACTTTATTATTTATACTTACATTTTACTATTTACTTTTAAAAACTGTTTTAAAACTATTTACTTTTTCTTTTCTTAGTAATCGTTAAGTATTAGTTTTTAAATATCATTGCTTTTGATTGCGTATGTTTCATTTATCATGTATATTTCAACACTGCCAAGTGCCAAACATTAATATTTAATTCTGTCAAACCCATTTGAGGCTATTTTCACTGGGACCTAATGTGAAAAACGTCCGGGTATGGCAATTTGGCATACCGCAAACGCAAATTTGTGTTTCACTGAACTGAAGTTTCTTTCTTGTAGCACAGAATAATAAACATACAGAATACCCACTCTCCACGGAAAATTAAGTACGCGCATCTCCTCCGCGCAGACGTTCCGCCATGTTTTAGGAGGATTTTAAAGAAATTATGTGGTGTGCATGGAAAAATTAACCAGGTTTATTTGACTTACGGCAATCATAGACATACTATACAATTATATTAACATTGTTAAATATAATAACATAAATATAATATAATTAAACATAAATATAAACAATTACATAACCACACAAATCATATGTCTGTGTCCTCCTAAAACATGGCGCGCGTGCTGAAAAACTTCAAAGGCGGCATCTGAGAGTGTCCCTTCTGATTGTTTATTATTCTGTGCTTGTAGCTTGTAACAAAGAAAGAAACTTCAGTTCAGTGAAACACAAATTTGCGGTATGCCAATTGCCATCAGTGTTGCCAATGCAAAACTAGAAATTATCCGAATGTTGGGAGCAAAATATCCGAATGCTAGAAACCAAATATCAGAAATTATCCGAATTCAAAAAAATCGAAAAAGAAGACTAATTCAATGGCATAATTGACATTGACACATTGCTAGATGACAAATGACAATTAATATGACAAATGATAACAAGAAAACAAGTTTAGTTTGATAGAAATATATTTATTTAAATAAAAAACAACAAATAATACATAAATACAGCAAATTAACAAATTATTAACTCTTAAAACCTATATTAAAAATACTTATTGTGCTTGTAGCTAAGCTAAGTTGTCTGGCTATAAATCGGAACCGGAACGTTCTCTACACGTTAACCGAAAACGGTTAAGTTACTGTAAATATTTTACTGTTCTTTAGAAGCTTAATTTTCAAATCCTTTCAATTCAGATGTGATGGCATTTCGACAGGAACTAGGAGAATTTGTAAACTTTTCAAAAGAACAGTTTAAGTCAAAAAATGAAAGTGATAAACTATCTTTCTTTTATCCTGGTAAAAATGTGAAAATTAAGATTGAGGAAGATGTGGAAATTTCTTACCACCATTTAACACAATCTAACACACCAGTAAAAGTTGAGGATTTTAAAATAGGACTGTCACTTACAGAGAATATTAAGCAAGAATATGAAGAGTGTGATCCTGTTTCGGATAATATTGGAGCTATTGATCTCATTAACAGTTATTCAACCAATATTTCTAGAGAGAGTATTTATAAAGCAAAGTCTGATGCAAGCCGAATTCTTCCACAAGATATTAAAGTTGAAATTAAACAAGAACATGAACAGTGTGATTATTTTGTTGATAAATTGGAACTTATTCATCCTAGTGACAATTATTCAAGAGAGAATATTGGTATACCCAAGTCTGATGCCTCTCAAATTTCTTTACAAGGAATTAAAGTTGAAATTAAAGAAGAATATGAACACTCTGATTTTGTTCTGGATACAGCTAGCAACATACATACTACTCATCTAAATACAGAAGTAAAATTGGAAGACTTTGTTGAACTGGAAAGTAATAAGTCAAGAAAAATAAAAATCAAAACAGTTAATAGAAGGAAGAAGTTACAGGATTATTCCCATTTCACCAAAAAATGTAAGTAAATATAACTTATTTAAGACTACCAACTCACCCAACTGCCTTACCTTATTTTATTTTATCTTAATATTGTGCAAATTTCTAGCATATGCATTTCAGAATCATTGGTGTGAATGTGTTCGTTCAGTTGTTCTTTGTCAAACTTTTCATTTAACAAACTATGAAAGTTCCCTCAGTCATTATATATAAAATGCTCTAAACTGGTTAGTTAACTAAATAACAATAAAGTTATGGTGGTTATAGCCCACTGGCTTAGTAAGTCAGATGGCCTAGGTTCGATCCCAGCAGGCTGCAGACATTTTTTAATTTAACTGAACTGCCACTGAGTTGGAGTGTACATAAGGCTGTCTATCTGGATTATGTAAGTAGTTTTTAACACTAAAACCAGAGGCCCTTGACATTCTATAGTCTGTTTTGTCCATCGTTACTGACTGTAGCAACCATTACTAGTTAGCTGCTTCAATCTTCTTCACACTCTTCCTGTCTACACTATCTCTTGACCTCATTTTCGGTTTTCTCTACTTGTTTTTCTCACATTCATTAATATAATAAGGTAAATGCACTAGTACTTGACACTGTACCAGTAGTGGACATTTTCCATTTTAAGCATAAATAATAAGCTTTTCCAATTATTTTTAATGTAATTATTACCAATCAGAGTTAACTAGTGTCATCTATACATCTTCTCTGTAACAGTAGAATTATTTAACCTTGAAACATAAAATTCCCACCAAATTTTTGTCAGAGTGTTGTGTGAACTTCAAGTGGCAACAAGTTTTCTAAACAAAAGTATTAAGAAGGTAAGAAAATTAATATTTATTGATGAAATTGTGAATGACTGTAGTTTTAGATATATCAATATATTATATGAATATTAAGGTAACATCTTGCTAATGTTTTAAGTTTGTTTTATACTCAAAACAAAATTTAGGCTAGGTGTCAACTACTAACCATTTATACCGAGACTGTAAAAACTTAATATTTTATTGTGATTTTCATTGTATATAATGTTTACACTTATATTTTAAATATCACGTAAATGTATCCACTCTATCTAGTAGTTGACACTATGTCAACTATTGAAACACTTTGGATGTCAACTACTAAAACAAAAATTTTAAATTTCAGTTAAAAATATGCCTCCTATAAAAGGACAAATGTTCCGATATACAGAAGAAGCTATGGAGAAAGCTATTTAGGAAGTTCTACATGGAAAGCCAGTTTCAACAACAGCAAAGAAGTATGGTATACCCAGAGTGACTTTGTTATACAAGTCAAAAGGCAAAACTCCACGCAAAAGAAAAATGGGCCCAGAACCATACCTAAAGGAAGATCCGGAGAAGATTTTAGTGAAGTGGATTATTGATGTATCCAGAGCCGGTTTTCCTATACAACAACAGCAGCTTATGAGCAGTGTTCAGGTACTAAAAGTTTTAATATTATTGTAAAGAAATTTTTTAGTTTTCTTCTTGTTTCAGGTGCTTATGAAGGAACTTAGTAAACAGAATCCCTTTAAAGATGACAAGCCAGGATGAACCTGGTTTACTGGATTCTTAAAAAGAAATCCCCAAATAAGTAACAGAGTTGCTCAAAATCTAACATGCACAAGGTCAGCTGTAACAACAGAAGCCATTCAAAAATGGTTCAGTGAAGTGTATAATTATTTTAGAGAGAACTACTATGAGGAGGTTCTTAATGACCCAAATCGAGTATTTAATGCAGATGAAACTGCATTTTTCCTTAACCCCAAAGGAAACAAAGTATTGGCAAGAAAGGGTGACAAAACTGTTTACTAACAAATTAATCCCGATGAGAAAGAATGCCTAACAGTTCTTATAACAGGTAATGCTGCTAGTAAACTAGCACCACCAATGGTCATATTTAAATATGAGAGAATTCCAAAAGAACTTGCACTTAGTGTTCCTGAAGAATGGGGTATTGGTAGGTCAGAAAGTGGATGGATGACAGGAGCTACCTTTTACGAGTTTATTACAAATATTTTTGATAAGTGGTTGACATTAAGCAAAATCGCTCGACCTGTAATTATATTCATTGATGGACATTCATCCCATTTAACATTATACACTAGTAGATTTTGTGCTGAACATGGTATTATATTGGTAGCCCTTCATCCAAATGCAACACATTTGCTTCAGCCAATGGATGTTGCTGTATTTCGTTCTTTGAAAGGGCGTTGGAAAGATGCAGTACACCAGTGGCGGATTGAGAATCAGGCTTCCCCAGTTTTAAGGAAAATTCACTTCTGTCGTCTTTTGAAAAAAGTTCTAGAGGAAAGGTTAGTACCATCAATTTTAAAAAATGGTTTCCGAAAATGTGGCTTAGTTCCCTGGGATGCTGGTGCAATTATGTTTCACAATGAGAAAATAGACATTTCAAAGAAAATGCAGGAATTGCAGAACATGAAACAAGGGAAAAACTTTCTAGAGAAACATATTGATAAACAAAAACTGAAGAAATAAACAATTTGAAAGCGAAACAAGGTGTGAAAGAACCAGATGATGAAGACAATATTATTGAAGATGCCACTTATATTGAGGACATACCAAATGTTGAAGACAGCCCTAATGTTGAAGACAGCCCTAATGTTGAAGACATTTATGTAGAGAACAAACCTGATAAGCCAGTTGAAGAACAGTGTGAAATACATGAGTTATTACACCAATCTGAGGCTGAAACCGGTTGAAACATTTCAGATGTTTTGGAAGGTCACACTAGTCCCACTAGGAAAAATCTTCAACATAACAATATTGCTATTATTCAAGACACTTGTGCTTCTTCGTCAACACAATCACAAGTTCCATTTTCAGCAATTGAAGAATTACCTACACCTTCTACATCAAATGAAAATATACCCTCTCCTTTTAAATGAATACTGTTTTGGCCTGAACCCAGAGTATCCTCAGTAAAAAAAAGAAGAGTGGAAAAAGTTCCTTATGTGGCTAGTTCAAAAGAATGGCAAACTTATCATGAAAATAAAGAAAATAAGAAGATCAAGATTCTTGAAGAAAAACAGAAAAGAGAGACAAAAGAAAAAAGAAGAAAAAACTTTGTTAAAAAACAGAAACTAAAAGTGACGAAAAAAAATGAAGTAAGTAAGAAAAAGGAGGAATCATCAAGTGATGATAATGAATCATGGGTTGAATCTGGTAGCAGTCTGGATGATATATCTTTTGAAGTAGGTGATTACAGTGATAAGGAAAATACTGATCATGTAAATTATATGGAGGGGGATTATGTACTTGCAAAATTCCTGGAAAGAAAAAAGAATATAAATTTGTATGTGTAATACAAAAAATTTTCAATAATTGTGAAGCAGAAGTTGTGGGTAAAACTTCATTTTGAATTAATGATAAAGATGTGAGCGTGATAACATTTCATCAAATCCTAAAAAGGATGCCCCAACCTCATATACTCATTTCAGGAGAAAGAATAAAGTGTCAGTTTCCAGATTCAGTGGGTGTGGATGGCTAACATTAAAGTTCTCCTGTAATTACATATTCTTAATAAAGTTATCAAAACATATTTGGGTGTCAATTACTAAACCTTCGATGTGTCAACTACTAATTTTTTTTCATTTTGTTGTGTCAACTAGTGGCACTTTTGCAACAATTTTTGTAAATTTTATAAAAAATATTTAGAAAGCAGAATTGTCCAAAAATTTATTTGTTAAATATTAAGGAAGGATTAGATTACCTGAATATACATATATTTTTTATTTAAGTTCAACTACATCGGTTTGAGGCTAAATAATGTTTTTTTTCTTCTTATAATGTCAACTACTAGTACATTTACCTTAATAGGATTCATCTGAGAGGGTAGTTTTGTTTGCTATTGACAGGTATCATGTACATTTAAGCCTGCATCACCTTTTTCATACACCAATTTCACAGATGCAATTGGAAGATCATTACAGATATCATCAAGGAAGAGATTATCCATATGAGACATTAAAAATCCTAAACAGTTGAATTAATTAGATTAATTTCGTTATGTATAAATTTAGTTAGTATTGCTATTGAGGCTGTAAATTTTTAGAGTTATATCTAAAAGTGGGCTTGGTTCATTGATAAATAAATAAATAAATATGATTTCTGAAATACTGAATATATCTGGACCTGAGTATTAGAAGGGCCAAACTCCATTTTCATTGTTTTGAGTAATAAGCAATTTATGTTTCAGGAAAAGTAAAATGTCAATTTTAAATTTAGGTAAAATAGATGCTTGATTACGTTAGATAACGAAATTTTAAGTAAAATAAGAGTAGTATTTTTTATTACTAAATACTGTGTTGTCAAATGTTTAGTAAGTAAATATGAATTTTGAAGGAGTTTTGCCTTTTAAAAATTAAGAAATAGTAATTTTTCTTGGAGATTGGCCCTGGAATAAAATGTATTTGGCAGAATTCGTTTATTTAAATATTTAAAAAATAACATAGCTTCGTGTAAAAGCAAAATATTTGTAGTTTTACTGTATTTCTTCCTCTAAAGCAGGATATCTTCTTTGTCAACCATTTTCCATCCACTCCTGAATGTAGGTCTCTCCCAATTATTTCCATCTTTCTCTTTCTTGTGCCAATCTAATCCACTGTTTGCCTGCCACTGCTCTTATGTCATCTACCCATCTTTTTTGAGGTCTTCCCATGCTTCTTGTTGTCATCCTTGGTCTCCATTCTAGAATTCTCTGTGTCCACCTGTTGTATTCCACCTGCGTTACATTGCTCTTTGCGCTGCTTCTAATTTTTTAGCAGATTTTTTGGTAAGTGCTACTGTCTCCAAGCCGTAGGTACAAACAGGTAGTATGCATGTGTTATACGCCTTTTTCCCTAAGTTTACAGGAATGGAGGTGTTTTTCAAGATGCATGCTAGTATGCCGAAAGCACCCCATGCCAGTTGTGTTCTTCTTTTAATTTCAGCATCTTGATTTGGTTTTCCTAGTTTGATAACATGACCTAGATATAGATAATGTTCAACATTTTTTATGGTATGATTTTGTATTGTTATGTTTGTCTGGTCTCTGCTCAGTATTTTTATTTTGCTGTAGTTCATTTTTAAGCCTACTGCTCCTGCCGCACCTAAAGCTGGATAGTCATTTGCATCTAATGTTTGGGAAATTTGAACTGTTTAAAATACGTTTTGTTATTATCATCACTCGTCTCTTAACACATTCACAGTGATTTCATGTGGGGCACCATTAAATTAGTTGTTTGCAGACACAAACTGACTAATTTGTTATTATATTTGCCACATAACACATCGTGGCCAGCCTTTAACAAGGCCTCGCCTTCTTTTAAAGGTCTTTTTGTGTCTCCTATATATTTCAAAATATGGAGCAGACTAACTTCAATTTCTTTATTTGCCATTGCGTTAACAAAAAAATAAATGGAAGATAATAGGGATAATTTTTAGACACAACAATCATTCACCTACAAAGATTATGGTAGCTCTATTTTGTTTTCCTACGTGCGTGATCAGCTAATCATCTGTCAAAGCGCCCCCTTTAGTTTGTTGACATCGGCAATAGAGTCCATTGCAATATTGTCAGATGTCTGAAATTGCATGTCTTTACTTGTGGGATCATTTCCACAATAACAGCAGCATTACCAGGCTGGGTATAAGAAGTTGATATGGATTCTTCAATAGAATGACCTAATCCCATTTTTTATAGTAATAAAATAAATTTTATTTTAGTACTTACCACTTTCGTTTCTATTTCTGTCATTAACTTGTCCGGAGTCTTTAATTAAAGGCAAGAGCCTTTTAGTTCGGCTTGAATACATTTTTTTTGCTTTACTTACAGTAAACTCACTTAAAATAAAACACAGAAGGGCTTCACCGGTCAACAACTACAATTATTTTAAGGTTATGTCTTTGTAAAGGCCAATCTGCGATGACTTAAGAATAAAAAGACCAAAGTTCAATGCTCACTGGATATTGGCCCTTTAGTTAAGTAGAGTGAGAAGTTCTATGTGCACTTTGGCCGTTTTAATTTAAACTGATCATTCATACAAGAAGATTGGCCTGTTTTGTATTGAAAGTTTTGAATAAAAAATGGTGTTTGGCCCTTTTAATTCAGGTTCAGATATATAATAATTATTTTACATGTACTATATTTAATTATCTTTAATCTTTATTTTAGGGCTTTCTCGGCTAAAATTAACAAGGAACAAAAACGAAATTCATAGTTGTTCCTTCTGCGGTAAAACGTGCATGAAATCTTCAATACTTATGTCTCATTACAAAGTAAGTCATTTTACAAAAAAGGTGATGCAAAAAAAGCAAACTGCAATCAAGCCTTCTATATTATATGATTTATTGAAAAAGGAAAACGATCAAATTTTAATTAAGGAATCTTCATATGCAGACCACTATACATTTGATGAAAGTGAAAAGTCATATAGTTGTACATTGTGCCCACAAAAGTTTGTCGACACAAGTGAACTAAAATCCCATTTTGGCCTTCACACTGAACAAAAGTTATTTGATTGTACAGTGTGCTATAACAAATTTAATAGCTCCAAGAACTTGGCCACACATTTGTTTGTGAATTCTAGGGAAAAACCATATACATGTGAAATTTGTTTATCACAATTTTCTACAAATTGCTATTTGCTAGTACATACACGTTTACACGCTATGCAGAAACCTCATAAATGTCAGGTTTGCTTAAAACAGTTCACCCAAATTGATCAGTTACTATATCATCAAATAGAACATACTGTGGACAAGCCTTTGAATGTGAACTTTGTGGAAAAAGGTTTAAAAAAAAAGATAAAATGGAACAACACCAAAGAATTGTCCACTTTGGTATCAGACCTTATAAGTGTGACTTGTGTTCTAAGACATTTGCTCGGACTGACGACTTAAACAGACATCGTTGGGTGCATACTGGAAAAAAACCATTCAAATGTACGATTTGTCTACAGGAGTTCGTACGGAATTTTGGACTTAAAATGCATATGCTTCTTCACACAGAGGTCAAGCCAGTTAGGTGCGATATTTGTTTTAAAGAGTTTAGACACGCATACCATCTTAAACAACATGCATATGTCCACTCTAACGAAAAACCTTTTAAATGTAAGATTTGTCCAAAACAGTTCAAACACAATTATCATCTCAGACAACATATGTTTGTCCATTCTGAAGAAAAACCTTTTGAGTGTAAGATCTGTCTAAAACAATTATGTTCTAGAAGTAGTTTACAGCAACATACGCTTCTCCATTCCGAGGAAAAAGTTTTTAAATGCAGTATATGTTCGAAAAGGTTTGCTACTAAAAGCAATTATAAACAGCATTTGTTAACACATACAGGCCAGAAGCGTTTCCAATGTAACATTTGCCCCAAGAATTTTACAGACAAGCGTGGATTCAATAGGCACATTCAAGCTCATACTGGAGAAAAGCCATTCCAGTGCGAGATTTGCCTTAAGCGTTTCACCGATAATTCAAGATTAAGAACACATATGCTTCTACACGAAAACAAAAGCTTTTACAAATGTGAAGTATGCCAAAAAATGATGGCAACGAAACACGGCTTAAAAGGTCATATGCGAGTCCATACTGGAGAAAAACCTTATACATGCGATATATGTCTGAAATCTTTTGCTAATCAGAGTAACATGATCAAACATAAGAGAATACACAATAAAAGTACTATCGAGCAAATTAATCCCCATCGTTCAGGCTGTAATAAATAAAGCTTCACTTGTAGTATCGTATGGTACATTTATTGAACACATTACTGTGCACTCTTACAATGTTACTTATCTTAAATGTAATAGTACTTAGTTGACGTTGTGAAAATACGTGATATATTAACTTGCCATCTTGACGTTAAATTATTTCTGATCCCTGAGAGAATGATTGTTGTGGCTTTTATAGTAGTCCTTGCTATATCAGCAATTGTTCACTTATTAGTATGTCAAGTTTGTTTATGACCTACGCCACGCATATGTGGTGATCGGCAATAGTGCTGATTTAACAATTCTAATTAGAGTATGATATTTATGAATGTCCTCGATTTAAATTACTAAATATATTTATATAAACAAGATGCTAAATGTTACACGAGTATGAATTTTAATATTTTATATATGTGAATTCCATTATTTAAGGAATAACACCACAAGGATCTGTCACCGTACATTGTTAAATATTTACATCTTTGAAAAGCTATAATCGTAATAGTACGTTCTGCATTGTCCATCTTGCATACTAGTATCGTTCATGTACGTTCTTCTTCTTAACGTGCCCTATCAAGTCCCCTTGACGTTGGCGATTAACATGGCGAAACTGTCTCTATCTCGAGCTATTCTAAAGAGTTGCTCAGCTCTCTTTATTCTTGTCCACTCCCTGATATTCTTCAACCAAGAGACCTGCTTTCTACCAATTCCTCTGCGTCCTTTGATTTTACCCATCGTAATAAATTGAAGAATATTATATCGGTCTCCCCTTACTACGTGTCCAAAATAGGCCATCTTTCTACATTGATGTTATCAAGCAGCTCGCGAGCAGCATTTGCTCTCTCAAAGGCTGCCACATTTGTCAGCATAGCCGTCCATGGAATTTTTAGTATACGTCTGTGCAGCCACATTTCAAAGGCCTCCAGACGATTAATGGTGGATATTTTTAATGTCCATGCTTCGACACCGTATAAGAGGACTGACCAAATGTAGCATTTAATCATGCGCTTTGGAAGTTGAAGTTGCAAGTTATCATTACAGAAGAATGACCTCATTTTTAAAAATGTCGTGCGGGCTATCTCGATTCTACATTTTATCTCTTGATCTGGATCTAGTTGTTCAGTAATATGGCAACCAAGATAATTAAAACTGGACACTTTTTGAATTATATGACCATCAACATATAATCGTGCATCTTGATGTGCTAAACGGCTAAACACCATGTGTCTTGTTTTTGAACAGTTTATGTTTAGGCCAAACTCTCTTCCCACTGTATCAATGGCATTTAAAAGGCATTGTAATCCATTCATGTCATCACTTAAAATAACTTTATCGTCTGCATATCTGATTGTATTTATCAGAATTCCATTAACTTTCACGCCACATTCCAAATTATGCAGCGCTCCTTTAAATATTCTATCTGAATATAAATTAAATAACAGTGGGGGCAGTATACAACCCTGTCTGACACCTCTTTGTATTTTACATATTTCTGTTGATTTTCTGTTTATGCAATCTGTCGCTGTTTGACGCCAGTATAACTTTTCTATTAATCGTGTGTCTTGACTATCAACTCCTTTATATTTTAATACTGTAATTAATTTGTGATGCTGTACTCGATCAAAGGCCTTTTCATAGTCAATAAATACAGCAAAGACGTCTTTCCTTTGATCTCGACATTTCTGCAGTAATACATTTAGTGCAAAGAGGGCGTCCCGAGTTCCCACTCCATTTCTGAAGCCCAATTGTGTTTCATCCTGGTCTTCTTCACATTTATCTCTGATTCTACTGTGGATGATGCGTAGAAATATTTTCAAAGTGTGGCTCATAAGGCTTATCATTCTATAATCGCTACAGTTTTTCGGACGTTGTTTTTTTTTTTGGTAGTGTTATGAATTCGGACTTTAACCAATCTTCAGGGATATCACCAGTCGAATAAACATCATTGAAAAGTTTGACCAGTATTCCAATGTTTTTCTCATTTATAAGCTTTAACATCTCTGTTCTTCAACAGCTTTCTTGTTCTTTGCTAACTTTATAGCATGCAGTATTTCTGATTTTAGTATTTCTGGTCCTTCACCTTCAACTAAAGTCTCCAGTTCTTCGGGTCTATCATTATTATACAGTTCACTTATATAATTACACCAGGTTGTTCGAATTTCATGTTCGTCTATTATCATTTTTCCCGACGAATCGGTTATAGTATGTGGAGTTTTCTTATGATAAAGACCAGCTACTTATCTAACTTTTTTAAACATATTAAACTTTTCATGTTTTTCATTCAACTTTTCTAATTCCTTGCATTTATCCTTCATCCATTTTTCTTTAGCCATCTTTATTTTTTGTTTAATTAGTTTCTGTTTTTCCTTATATTCTGTCTTGTTACCTTTCAGTTTCCGTCTCTGCTCCATTAATTCCAGGATTTCATCAGTCATCCATTGTTGTTTTTTGTGCCTGTGTAACGTTGTTGAATATGTTTCTATTGCTTTCAAGGTAAGATCTTTAAATACCTATGTTCCATATTCCTGTGTTGTTTTCATTTAGTGATTTCTTTAGCTCATTGTGTAAGTCATTTTCTATTAACGTTTTGTTGGATATTGAGATATTTAATTTTGGTGTTTTGGGGCTTTCTTGGACTTTTTTGAGCTTCACTTTGATGTCAGTTATTACTATGACGTTACGATGCACAAATACACCATACTGTACGTGCTGCCGTACATACACGGCAGCACAACACCCACCCTAGCGCCGTATTTTCTGAATACCGTTTTTTTGTTATGTTTTACGAAAAACAATTTAACTACTTCGATAAAACGAATATAAACAAACTGCCGACAAACGAAAAACGATTCAACCACTTCAATATAAAGAATATAAACTACTGAGTGACCGTCTCGATCGTGAAGTGCAAAATTTTTCCGGTGCCGTATATGAGCAACGCGCAACCGATACTTGGTCCGTAGCAAAAGGGTTAACTGTGTAGCAATTTTCAGTCCCCTACCTAATATAGAAAATAATTATATTCTGAAAATTGTTAAACTGGTTGCACACCTAGTAACTAGTGTATTCGTAACCTGTAAATGATAACGAAAAAGTAGACGACGTGGAATTGACAGAAGGAGACGGATGACGTATTTCCGGAGAGGATTACTTCACGTGCAACGTGATCACGTGCAACATCAAAGATCAAGTAATTGAGGAACTTTTCTAACATCATATTAATGTGTGAGCTCTGTAGCTATATAAAATAACTATTGTGTTCAGCATTCCTTTTTTAATATGACCGGCAATGCTTGATAAATCTATAGTAAATTTGTTTTTGTTAAATAAATATTATGTTTCCTCGTAGGTGTCATTAGACACGCATTTTCTACGCTTGCCTTCATATTAATATTTTATTTTCATGCCATACACCAAAGTGCGTAGGCGACTATCTCATTATTTGATATCCGCCCGTGACTATATGTCATTAAGCCAACAGTAGAAATCATTCCGCTATAGCCTTAATGAAGTAATGTCATAGCTGCTGCCCTATGCCATGTCCTCAGTTGATCCACGGGTGCTTATTTGGTAAAACCTTATTCACACCTATCCTACAATTCTGTAGGACATTTCCCTATCAGCCAGTGGGACGCGCCGTGTCGAGGTTGAGGACTCCCCGCCCGTCCGTTTTCAGCGAAGTACAGAAGAGTCCCTACTTAATTCAGAACTTCTCCTCCATGCAAGCTGGGACAGACACGGACATTTTCTACCTAGGTACTGTCAAAATTTCAAATCCATGCATATAAAAAGAATTCTGAACAGAAAACCGTCATTTCCTGGAACAATTGAGACATTTGTAAGTCTATATCTAAGATATTAGTATATCATATTATTAATGCATAAATAAAATGTTAAAAACTAATATTTTGACTTTCTTTATTACGACCATTTACTATTCCAATACCGCTAATTGCCATAGTAAATGAAACACTCAAAAGTACACAGTATAATTCGAATACAAAAAACCCTAACAGATACAATCCAAGTCAGAAAAGCCTTTGTATAATTTTTCATATATCAGGCACGAATTAGTTTATTCTTCTATTAATACAGAAACGAATTGAAGGTCTGGATTAAAGTAAAACCACCAAATCCAATTGACCGTTTTATTGACGCGAACCAGGTAAATAATGACTTGAAGCGTCAGGACCTGTGGCTTGCTTTCGGTCGACTCTATCTTCCTCATTTGTTACGCGCCTTTTATAAATTAATTATTATTTCAAGCTTTATTACCAATAATCTATTGTTACAATTTAAATTAACAAATGGAAAGCAAACAAGTAGGCCACACATGCAACATATATATACAACAAATCACTTCAGTTCAACATAAACATTAAAGAGTTAATAACATTAATATAGTCCGTCTAGAAAATATCCGGAATTTTCTATTTTTCCCAATTGTAATAGATTTCCTTTTTGTAACATTTTAAGACAAAAGTAATGTATCAAGTAGGTTGTACCAATAGTAGGTTATGGACAAAATCGCATGACAACACCATCTGTCAAATATTGTTGTTTGTAAACAGACTTAAGATTTGTGAAATAATGTTGCAAGTAGAAAAAGAAAAGTGGTGGAATATTTGTATAGAAAGGGTGTCCGAAACGTTAAAAAATTAGTGCAATTGACTGAACTGGGAAAAAGTGCAGTGTATAAGACAATAAAGAGAATAAAAAATGGCATAGAGGTCTAGGGTTTCGAAAATTAGCGAACAGATTTGGAAATATCAAAAAACAAGGCTACATACCAAGGAATCCAAAAAAAATCCATTCAATGACACCTCTGCAAAAGCAACGAATACTAGATTTTTGTCAACGTTTTCCAGAAGATCATTTTAATCATATGTTTATATCTGATGAAAGTTTTTTCCAGCTTGGTGCAAATCATCTAAAAGTCCTATCAAGAGAAAATGTTCAAATTTCCAAGTTTGCCACTAAACTAATGGTTTGAGGAGCAATATCTCAGCGTGGTGCTACACCTCTCTTTAAAGTTAGTGGTACTGTTGATAGTGCGAAATATTGTGACATCCTAAATGGTTTTCTTCTTGAAACGGCTCATGTGTTATATCCAGATGGGTAACATTTTCAGCAAGGTAATGCAAGATGCTATACTTCTGCTTATACTCAAGCTTGGATGCAAGAACACGAAGTGGCAACAATTCCGTGGCCAGCAGCATCTACAGATCTTAGCCCCATTGAAAACACATGGGGACTGATGAAGATTAAAGTGGAACGAGCAGAGCCACGAGATAAAGAAAGTTTGATTCGGTCAGTTTTACAGGCATGGAACACCATTACCGAAAATTATGGCTTTGACCTAGTTTCGGGTGTACCTGGAGGTTTAGTTAAGTGTTTAGATTTACATGGAGGTTGTATAAGTAAATGAGATGAATTATTTGTTGAAATTTTATATTTCAAGTCATAGAAATAAAAACCGTAAAATTAAAATTCTGCTTTTTTTTCCGGATACTTTCTAGACGGACTATAAGTATAAAAAGTAAAAGCAGCTTGATACAATAACTGCTTCGGAAAGAGACTTATCAGGATGGATTTAAGAAGACTTTTTAAACCGAAGGATTTTAAACGAAGATCTCTATTTTATGATTGATGGCATATACAGTAAAAAGTTTTAACCCATTAAAATAATGGTGTTTATAAAATACCGTCACGGAAAAGTGTAGGTAAGAACTGTCTAAGCTTCGTTTTTTTTTTTTTTTAGATTGGAACTTTAAATTGAAGCGCGCTGCCAAAATTTTTAGTATCTCGACTTCTGTGAGACGTATAACATTCATTTTTTTTATAAATAATAAGAATTGTGCTATTTTTGGCCTATCGGAAAATCCCTGAAAAATACCTAAATAATTAAATTTTTTCATACAAAATTTATTGAATTTTACTGTTGTATAGTATATAATAATTTATATATAATAATTTTATTATAATTTGATTTAATGAAGCTAAGTGGCTAATAAGTATAAACAATATTTTTGTAGGTACCATCACGTTAAAAATCCGTTAATCGAATATATTGGCGTCAATTTAGGGCTTAGAGTCACAGAATCTAGAGTCAAACCGGCACTTTTTTACACAAAATTGACAAACATTTTCTAATAATTAATATCAAACGAAACAAATATTAATTCATTGTTTTATGTAAGGTATACAAGTGCAGAATCCATTAAATGATATAATAAAAATGTACATTTTAAAAGCTTTATCTTTTTGTATTTGAAACATTATAGGACATGGCAACACTGCCAATGAAATATTTCGTTCTGTGAAATTTAATTGACAGCTAATTTAAGGCTATCTTCACTGGGACCAAATGTGAAAAACGTCAAACCAGGTGCGTCAAACGTTCGATTCGGGATTTTTTGTGTAAACATAAAACTGAAATTGGCAAATAAAGTCAAATTTAATAATATGGAAATAAAACAAGAAGCTAGTGAGAAATCTTGTAAAATAGAAAGAGTGGCCTGTGATGGTCCCATGGATGCCGTCAAAATTGAAATTAAGGAAGAACCCAAGAGAGAAAGTGCGTATGACGCATTTGATTATTTAGACTTAAATAAATTCCCCCTAAAAACTGAAGTAGAACCAGATGAATATAAATTTAAATTGTTTGAAGACAAGCAAACAACAAATGAAGAAGGTAAGTAAATAACATTATTCTTTACAATAACATGATTTAATTATATTTTGAGTAAGTTTAGAGATTAAATGGGCAGTTTATGTTATAAACAATATTTGTTAAACAAAGAACAAATTATATATTTTCCCTTAATTTACACATCCCTTGCTGAATAATTTGATGTTATCATTTTTGCATAGTGCTGCTTAGTTTTTCAATATGGTAGACCTAGAGGGTAAAGTTCTATTGATATAGGTTTTCATTCTCTCATATTAGTCAACGAGGTTCACAAGTGCCTGATCAGGAATTATTGAGAGCCACTCAATGACAAATTCAGACTAAGAAAATAAGACTTAAGAAAACATCGTCCTTCTTGTATGTAGGCTAAAGCCTGTTTCCTCTTCAATATTAGCCTCCTAAATTGTTTAAATTGTCACACCATCTTTTTCTTGGTCTGCCAATACTTCTTCATCTCTTTGGTGACTTATCTCATGCTATTTAAGAAAACACCTATACAAAATAGATAAGGTGAATGGAACATGGTGTAGAAAATGCAAAATGGAAGAAGAGATTTGTATACACACCCTACACTGCGTGATATGAGGCGGGAATTCACTGTTCATTTGAGGGTTGAACCAGAAGAGATCCTTAAACTACAAATGAGTCAACTGTTAAAGAAAACTTCATTATAAATAATAATTAGTTAAATAATTGAAGAAAATTTTTCAAAGTATAATTTTAAACAAATGGTATTTTGCAGCATATAAAACTGAGCAATTTAATTAAATTACAATTTCTTCATTACAATAATTGTCAAAAAGGTGACAACAAGGTGCTATCTCTAATTGATAGACCCCAGTAGCTTTTTAACCTAAGCGAAAAAAATCAGTAGTGGACATTGAGGTTGCCAACTAGCATTAGGCTGTAAGAAAGAGATGGAATGGAGGAATAAATTTAGAAATGAAAACTTGGGCTATAATTTTACTTAATTTTTTGCATTCAATTGTGTCAGCAATAATTTTTTCGTTCCAGTAAAATGTTTATAGTTGGTTTGTATTTTAGGTCGTTCCCAGGAGAAGAATAGAATGAAAATAATAGAAATGTTACATTCATCTCATAAAGCAAAATACACAGGTCAACAAGCTGAAAGAAAAATATTACATAAACATAGGAAAGTTGTGACTGGACAAAGACTTTACAAGTGTGAAATTTGTTTAAAGCAGTTATCCCGAAACGATTCTTTTGCTCGACATATGAAAATTCACACTGGAGAAAAACCTTATAAGTGTCAAAATTGTTTAAAGCAGTTTTCTGAGAAAGGTATTTTGAATGCACATTTGAAAGTGCACTCTGGAGAAAAACCGGGGAAAAAAACTTGTGAAATTTGTTTTAAGAAATTTACTGGATTAGAAAGTTTGAAAAATCATTTGAGAGTGCACACTGGGGAAAAACCGTACAAGTGTGAACATTGTTTAAAGAAGTTTTCTCAAAAAGGTAATTTGAAGGTACATTTGAAAATTCACACTGAAGAAAAGCCATATAAGTGTGAAGTTTGTTTTAAGAAATTTACTGAAGCAGCAAGTTTGAGAAAGCATTGGGGAGTGCACATTGGGGAAAAACCATATCAGTGTGAAATTTGTTTTAAAGCAATTTACTGAATCAGGAAGTTTGAAAAGACATTTGAGAGTGCACACTGGGGAAAAACCGTACAAGTGTAAAAATTGTGTAAAGGAGTTTTCTCGGAAAGGTAGTTTGGATGCACATTTGAAAGTGCACACTGGAGAAAAGCCTTACAAGTGCGAAGTTTGTTTTAGGCAATTTAGAGAAGCAAACCATTTGAAAAAACATTTTAGACTGCACACTAGATAAAAACCATACAAGTGTGAAATTTGCTTTCAACAGCTTTCTTTAGTAAGTTCTATAAAAAGACATTTGAGAATGTACACTTGAGAAAAACTGAAGATGTGTGAAATTTGTTTTAAATGGTTTTTTTCCAAGGTATGTCGGATCCGAAAGATCTCCATTATCACTGAAGCTGAAACTTATTATGTTTGTTGCCTATTATTGTTTTCTTCGCCAATTTGAGAATTTTTTTTACCCTGTAGAAGTTTTTACAGGCCATTTGCTTGGTGTGTCCTAAATATACCGGGGTCTCTTCTTGATTGCCCATATGGTTTTCTTTGTGGTCCAGTGTCTCGCAATCATATGCAAGACGCTGGATGTTGTAATCAAGACATGTTGTACATTTTTTGGTTCTTTATCAGAGAGTCTGAATTCAGGGTACCCATTTTATTCACAAAATCTCTTACCGGTCCGTGCCCGGTCAATTTTCCTCTTACTGTTCTCAGTTTCTTCCTGCCATTTGGAGCAATTCCACATGGTTCACCATTGAAGATTTTCCCATGTGTCTGGGTCCATTCATCTACAAACATATGTATTGTAGCCTTTAATACTCACAGTCAGGGTAACAGTTGGTCCGTTTGATTCATATCCACTTTTAGAACATGTAGAACATGTTCAAAAGTTAGCTTCTCAAACGTAAACGTAAGCTCAAACTACAAGTACACAACTTCATCATTTATTCTCTAAATGATGATGTTCAGTTGTACATTTGACATGAAGCAAATGATGGAGTCAGTAGCAATGAATTTACGTCTTGACTTATAATAGATTATATAAATAATATTCGTGCTATCAACCTGTTGTATTCATCTCAGATGGATGCAACTACCAAAATCGAAACAGAACTCTGGCTAGTGCTTTAAGTGATGCAGCAATAGCAAAATCCGTTAGAATACAGCAGTTATATATTGAAAAAGGCCATACTATGATGTAAGCAGATTCAGTTCATTCAAACTTTCTTTCGAAAATTACTTTCAGCCTCCAATTAATTCACTGATGCATTACATTTCTAGAATGCGTCTTGCTGGGCTAAAACATCCGTATAATATTTAAAATGTAGATTTTACGTTCTTTAAAAACTAGACTATTGGCAGTAACTTTCGTTCAATAATACCTGGAAAAAAAGATACACAAGTTGCAGATATAAGACAATTAAAATATAGCCCCAATGGAGTGGTATACTACACCACTGATTACTCAGATAACTGGAAGCTACTACCACACTAAAGAGAAAGTCAAGACCTATCGGTTTATGAAAACTCACTCTTCAAGACATCTTCTGAAATATCAGAAGACAAGTTCAAACACCTGCAAGACCATAAATCAGTTATTGAAAAAGATCACTTTTCCGATACTCTACCTAAAATCAACAAAAAATAATAATTTCGGGGGTGTTCGTAAAAATATCATACACTGATACTACAAATCGAAGTTTGTTTATTTAAAATAAAGTTACTTTACTGTTGATATGACTCTTTTCCCCCCAAACATACCAAATTCAACGTGTATTATAGTACTATGGCATGTCATACACAATATTTTGAAATACCTGCTATGTACCAGTTCAATAATTTATAATTTCTCCAATAACTGTTTTTTGTGTCTCCTGTAAAATTAGGATATTTTTACATTGGAGATATTTCAGTTCTAACGACGATATTATGTGGCGTGCCAAGAATGCGTAATATATTGTAATTGTAACAAAATAGCTAAACATATTATCATTTATTACACAGAATTAGCTTGGGGCAGTGATTTTTCATTTAGTGAAATTATAGGTACCCACACTTAACCAAATTTTAGCTGAATTAAAATCTAAAAATATTATTAATTGCTGTAAATCAACTTTAAGAAAATTTTTACTACTAAATGGTTTTAAATATAAAACAATCAATAAACGACATACTATAATGGAAAGTGCCCGTTTAATAAAATGGCGTAATGAATATTTGGAAAAGATAACCGAGTATAGAAATAGCGGAAGAAAAATTTATTACTTAAATGAAACGTGGTTTGACACTAACGAAACAATTGGCAGGTTGGAGTATAAGTGATTTAAAAAAATTTAGCAGACAACAGTGTTATTGTTTTAGATAATGCATCATATCATTCTAAAACTTAAAAAAAATCCCGAATAATTACTCTAGAAAGGATGAATTGCAAGATTTTTTTATCACAAGATTTATATTTTGAAGATTGGTACACTAAAGACCAATTCGTAGAGGTACTTAATACAAAATTATTTGTAAAGGAATATATTATAATTATATATATATACAGGGTGGTCCTTAAGTAATTGTACAAAAAGAAACCGCAGATTCTACACTTTAAAATATTACGATTTAAGCCAACTTGCTTAAATAAAATATTGATATTAAAAAAGATACAGGGTGTTAAAGTGGAAATTTACAATTTTATTTTTCACTATAACTTTTAAGTTTATCAACATTTCTGTATAAAAATTTACAACTGGGTACTCTTCAATATCAGGAATTATAATTTGATCCACACTTTGGTACAGTTAATAGAGGGCGCCACATATGCCATATACGTGGCATACATTTGCACTTAACTTTTTTGTTCTTCAAGTCACCGGTATTTTTAATAAAAAATATTAAAGATACATTATTTTAACAAAAAAAAGGTATACTTGTTAACATCTTCAAAACTCAACAGTTTTCGAGATAATCGCATTTTACAAATCAATTGCTTAATTCTGATTTAACGCAATTACTCCAGGCAATGAAAGAAAAATAGATAAAAACATCAATACTTCTAAATTTTGTTATAAAATACCTTTAATAAAGTTAATAGTTAACGAAATATTGAATAAAATAAATATATCAGCAGGATAATTTATAATAGAATTTGATAAAATAACAGAATAATTGGATTTTACATTAAACATTTTACGTTTTGTATTAAATTAAGTCATAATCAAAATATTTTATTTATAAATCAAATTAAGAAATAGTTAAACTAAATATCATTAAACTTTTTGTCAAAGTAAGTGTTCAATATGTCCGCCATTTTCTTTAATTCATTTGTCAATACATTCCATAAAATATCGTCTCATATTAAACAGCATCATTGGTTCTAAAGAAACTGCTGCAGTACTTATTATAAGTATAATAATAGGTATTCTTTTGGGATTTTTATGAATTAAATAATTATATTAATATCTTATCACATAACTAAAGAATATGACTATCACGAACAAACCAATGTTCAGGAAAGTGGTTTTTAAATACTGTTCTCACTCCCCTTTCTCTGTAATGTATTGGTGTACCATCTTGTCTAAACCAAATATTTAGCCTTAAGTTTGATGACAATTCTTCCAATAAATCAATAAAATCATCTTATAAAAAATGTAAATAAATCTTACCATTCAAATTTCAAGGTAATTCGCATATCCGTAAAATATCATTTAAAATTCATATTTAAAATGCATGTCCTATGGTTTGGAACAATTGGTAATTATTTTTACGAATATGCGAATTACCTTGCAATTTGAATGTCGAGATTTATTTACATTTTTTATAAAATGATTTTATTGATTTATTGGAAGTATTGTCCTCAAGCTTACGGCGAAATATGTGGTTTCTACAAGATGGTACACCATTACATTACAGAGAAAGCGGAGTTAGACAGTGTTTAAATAAAATTTTCCTGAACGTTGGATTGTTCGAAGTAGTCATATTCTTGTGGTGATATATTAAACTAATTATTTAATTCATAAAAATATCAAAAAATTACTCATTATTATACTTATAACACTTAAAATAAATACTGCAGCAGTTTCCTTAGAACCAATGATGCTATTTAATACGAGACGATATTTTATGGAATGTATTGACAAATGAATTAAAGAAAATGGTGGACATATTGAACACTTACTTTGACAAAAATTTAATGTTATTTAGTTTAACTATTTCCTAATTTGGTTTGTAAATAAAATGTTTTGATTTTGACTAATTTAATACAAAACGTAAAATGTTTGATGTAAAATCCAATTATTCTGTTATTTATCAAATCCTATTATTTTATCCTGATGATATATTTATTTTATTTAATATTTCGTTATCTATTAACTTTATTAAAGGTATTTTATACAAAAATTCAGAAGTATTGATGTTTTTCTTTAATTTTCTTTCGTTGCGTGGAGTAATTGCGATAAATCAGAATTATGTAGTTGATTTCTAAAATGCGATTATCTCGAAAACTGTTGAGTTTTGAAGATATTAACAAGTATACCTTTTTTTTGTTAAAATAATGTATCTTTAATATGTTTTATTAAAGTAACCGGTAACTTGAAGAGCAAAAAAGTTAAGTGCAAATGTATGCCACATATGTGGCATCTGTGGCGCCCTCTATCAGCTACATGAAAGTATACATCAAATTATAATTTCTTATATTTAATATTACCCAGTTTTAAATTTTTGTACATAAATGTTGACAAACATGAAAGTTATAGCAAAAAATAAAATTTTAAATTTTCACTTTAACACCCTGTATCTTTCTTAATAAATAACATTTTATTAAAGCAACTTGACTTAAATCGTAATATTTTTAAGTGTAGAATCTACGGTTTCTTTTTGTACAATTACTTAAGGACCACCCTGTATATATATATATATATATATTATATATATATATATATATATATATATATATATATATATATATTATATATATATTATTGGTGATGTAGCAAGTAAAAATGGACATAAAACTTTAAGACTACCACCATATTACTGCGTTTTAAATCCAATAGAGTTGTTATGGTCTCAATTGAAATATAATGTGAGACAAAAAAATGTAAGTCCGAAATGTTATAACAATATCGTGAAACTAATAGATTCTGAATTTAAAAATATCTCTGAGGATAACTGGAAGAAAGCAATAGAGCATGTAAAAAATATCGAAAAAGAATATGTTAAAAACATTCCTGTTCTAAATAAAATTATTTAGAACTAATAGATTCTGAATTTAAAAATATCTCTGAGGATAACTGAAAGAAAGCAATAGAGCATGTAAAAAATATCGAAAAAGAATATGTTAAAAACATTCATGTTCTAAATAAAATTATTATCAATGTGGAGAACAGTGATTCAGAGGAAGAAAGTGACGAAGTGTAATAAAGACAACTTTCTCTCAATACTGAGGTTACCCGGGATATTTTCTTACATAATCCGGTGTAGGGATTATCGACATATATTCAACATCAAACTACTGCTTCAACTTTTTAAGAAAAACAGGGCCTTATTATGAAAATTTCACTTATTGTTGCAATATCTGTATATTTGAATATCAGTTCTTAAGAGAAAATAATAATGTTAGTAAGTGTTGACTAGATAAACTTTTAATTTTTACTTCAAGGATTTATAAATTATATAAATATATATATTTTATCTTTCACTACCAACCGTTCGCTCAATTATTAATTAGTTTTTGTATACAAACCAATTATTGTTTGAATATTATATAAAAAATGCATGGCAGAAATATGATTAATGTAATTTAAACTTACACAAAATCACCAAGACATAAAATTAAGCTTTGTTTATGAGAATACAAATTTATAGAACCAATTTTTATAAAATATACCATATTATGTTTCATGTAGGTCAGTACTATTATGTTCTTCACTAGTCATACCTCTGCTTATCGCATCTTTCTCAAATGAATATAACCGGCCTATAACATTTATTTTTCCAATATAATAGAATTTTTATATTACAATTGCTTTGTATTTTAGGTATCCCCCAAGATGATAACAAAATGAAAATTATGGAAGCTTCAACTACACATTCATTACGTACGCCTTACAAATGTGAAACTTGTTTTAAACAGTTTACTACTACAAGTAATTTGAAAAGACATTTGAGATTGCATACTGGAGGAAAACGTTACAAATGTGAGATTTGTTTTAAGCAATTTAGTGAAGCATGTAGTTTAAAAAGACATCGGAGATTGCACACTGGGGAAAAACCTTATAAGTGTGAGATTTGTTTTAAGCAATTTAGTGAAGCATGTAGGTTAAAAAGACATCGGATATTGCACACTGGGGAAAAACCTTATAAGTGTGAGATTTGTTTTAAGCAATTTAGTGAAGCAGGTAGTTTAAAAAAACATCGTAGAGTGCACACTGGGGAAAAACCTTATGAGTGTGAAATTTGTTTTAAGCAGTTTTCTCGAACAAGTAATCTGAAACTACATCTGAGATTGCACACTGATACGTGTGAGATTTGTTTTAGGCAATTTAGTGAAGCGAGTATTTTGAAAGATCATTTGAGAACACACACTAAGGAAAAACCTCACAAGTGTGAAATTTGCTTTAAGCAGTTTTCTATAACAAGTAATTTGAAAAAACATTTGAGAGTGCATACTGAAGAAAAACCTTTCAAATGTGAAATTTGTTTTAAGCAGTTTTCTCAGAAAGTTTATTTGAAAACACATTTCAGA